ATACTTTAGTGTTAACCCCGTAGAAACAAAAAATTTAAAATTTAAAGATGATACAAAGCCTTTAGCAATAATTTATCGTGTTTGTTACAAAACTATGACAACTACACTTGAACCAAAAACACGTTTATCAAGTCCAAAAAATGAAACAATTATTTTTGAAGAAAATACTAACCATACCAAAGTCCACACACCAAAAAGGTTAAAATGGTCTGATATAACTCAATCGTGTAATTGGAATTTACAAAATGTTATCGATCCAAAACCACTAGACTCTTCAAAACAAATCTCAAATATTATAGAATATAATGATGGTTCTGTAGATATAAATTTTTCTTCCTTAAATATTTCATCATCCAGATTATCGACTTCTTTTATCCCAGAAACAAGCTCTTCAAAATCTTTGTTATCAAAGTCAAGATCTTTAAAACTAAAAATCGTTGACTATACTAATTCTATTTCCAAACCATTATATCAAGATGATCAAAATAGTGAAAATAGTCTTCCTAGTCATACTAAATTAGATGTTATTGATGAACTTCAAAATTTTAAACAACAAATATGAGTTCTAAAGTACAAATTAATTGTTCAAACAATAATACGCTTTGGGCTAATATGTTAAAAAGACATTGGAAGATAAATTCTAATATATGCAAAACCATTCAACATTTAGAAGAAACTAGAACTCATGAAGATTATAATTTATACAAAATGCTTCCATATACTAATAAATATAATTAAACAAATAGAAAAAATTTCTAGGCTAACGATAGGAATAAAAAAATACGAAAAATCACGAAGTCATAATTTAGAATCAATAAAACATATTTCTTCAATCCTAACAAAAACAACCTGTTAAAATGAATTTCTCGAATTTAGAATATCAAGTTGACTTTGATTACTTAAAAAATATTGAGTATTATAAAGATTACAATAATAAAAAAAGAGCTTGGCACGAAGAAAATTTTTCATACTACTTAAGATTTCTCCATTTAGGCCTTTGGGAAGATTATGTTTTATCAAATAAAATTTATTCTCCTTTTTTTCAATGGTTTGAGTTAATTTATGCCCCTAAACATAAAATAAATTACCCATTTAAAAATGATGCTATCACTCCCATTTTAGAGAAAAAATATAAAGATATTATTTCTAATAAAGAAATTATTGCTAATTTTCCACCAAAAGGAGAAATTATTATTAACGATATGTTTATTGCGACTCTTTTAGTTCAAGCCCCAAATCAAGTAACTACTGAAAAGGGTCTTCAAAAAATTATTTACCAAAATAATTATGCGAACGAAACCTTATCTAGTATTACCGAGCATTTAGTTAAAATTGAAGAAAAAATTTTCAAAGACAAGAATGATAATAAGCAAGATATGGCAAGCACTAGCAATATAAGTTTTGTTCCTTGTCAAATCGATGGTAATTTTAATCTAGGAAATACAGATTTAATTAACGAGTTAGAAAAAAGACTTTCAAAACTTCATATCTCAAACACTAACAATATTAATACTCTTACAGATGATGAATCTGAAAATAGTGATATTAATAGTGAAACAAATTTTGAAACTCTTACTCAATAATTTGTTAATTCAAATGATGATATTAGTCAACTTACTAATGACTTTTCAAATCTTAATAAAATTCATCAATCAAAAAGAAGTACTTTCGGAAAGAATCCAAAACCAACCATAAGAAATTATTGGAATAGGCCCTCTCTTCCAGATGTTCAACTAGAAGAACGAACTTTTCAATTTGATCGTTCTCAATATGATGGTAATTCTGTTTATGAATGGAATGTTGATGGCCATTCTGAACATCAAATTATGAATATTGTACAAGAAATGACTATGGCTGCTAATGCTTATAAAGCTCATAATAATACTCAACTTCAAATTGTTAATATTATTACTTCTGGTTTTACTGGCAGTCTTAAAGGATGGTGGGATTTCTATATTTCACAAGAAGAAAAAGATTATATTTTATCTGCTAAGAAAACTATTATAAAACAAGAAAATAATCAACAAATACAAACGTTTGAAGATGATATGGTTAACACTTTAATTTTTGCTATTATCAAAAACTTTGTAGGAGATCCTACTACTTTTCAAGAAAAAACTTCAGAAATTTTAATGAATTTACATTGCAGAAAACTTACTGATTTTAGATGGTATAAAGATAATTATCTTGTTAAAGTTTTCTCGAGACCTGATTGTAAAGAGTCTTATTGGAAAGAACGTTTTATTACTGGCCTTCCAAAACTCTTTGCAGAAAGAGTTAGACAAAAATTAAGAGAAAATTTTAATAATACCATCCCTTATCAAAATTTAACTTATGGAGATCTAATAAACTACATTAATAAAGATGGATTAGCAGTTTGTGCTGATCTTAGGTTTAAAGAAAAGCTCAAAAAGATAGAATTAACAGTAAAAATGAATTGGGAAATTTTTGCCAACAATATGGTTATCAGCCCTTGAATGGTCCGTCTACTTCAAAATCTAAAGTATATAAGAAAAAAATCTTCAAAATTTTTCAGGAAAAAGAATTATAATCTTCCAGAAAATCATAAAAAAGGCCAAGATTATGCGTCAAAATCTAAAAAACCTTATAAACCAAATTATAAAAAATCTAAAAGAAAATCAAAAAGATATTATTATTTGTCATAAATGTGGGCGTAATGGTCATACAGCTAATAATTGTTATGCTAAGACAAAAATAAATGAGTTAAATGTTTCTGATGATTTAAAAGAACAAATAAGAAAAATTATTTTAAACACTGACTCAGATTCCGATGAAAGTATTTCTGATTTTCAAACAAATGATTTAAATATTCTCGAAAATACTACTTCAAGTTCAGAAGATTCTGATGTTTGCGAATGTATTGGTAAATGTCATTGTAAAAATCTAATCAATGTAATTACTAGTAGTTCTATTAACGTTCTTTCACAAGATGATAAAGATCTTTTAAACTCTCTTGATTCTATAAAAGATAAAAATATCCAAGAATTATTAATAAAGCAGATGCTTAATAAAACTAATAACATAACTCCTGCTAATAATGAAAATTTTAATTTAAAAAATATATATGAAAGATTTACCGAAGCAAAGCCAATTTCTATGCAAGAACTTCAAGAAGAATTAAAAATAGTAAAACAAGAAATAAAAGAAATAAAAAATAAAATTTTAATTTTAGAAAAAGAAAAACCTACTACTTTAATATAGAAATTAATAACGAAGAAGAAAATAAAATTGAAAATGTAACTATTGGTAAAATTATAAATAATCAAGTTTCTTAAAAATGGAACACTTAAATTATGAATATTGTACAAAAAATGACTATGGCTGCTAATGCTATATATATATATATATATATATATATATATATATATATATATATATATATATATATATAGGATATAGATCCGGTAAGAAATTTTTTTTGGTAGGAAGGTAAGAAGTTTTTTTTCTACATATTTTTTGACGAACAAATTTGTAAAATGATTCACAAGAAAAAATTCCCAAAAAAACATCTTTATGATTCATTTTTAAGTAAATTATGAAAAAATTCACTTTTATGACAATTTTAGTGAATAACAACAAAATCATTGTATAAATGAATAATCAAGATGTTTTTTTAAGAATTTTTTATTGTGAATCATCTTACAATTGAATCATCTAATAATTCATTTTGTTTGTTCGCGAAAAAAATATGTAGAAAAAAAACTTCTTACCTTCCTACCAAAAATTTCCTTCTTATTTGATCTTGACTATATAATATATATATATATATATATATATATATATATATATATATATATATATATATATATATATGTATGTGTGTGTGTGTGTGTGTGTGTGTGTGGAGCACTGAGCACTGATCATTCAAAGGCAAGTTTCACATCTAGAGGAGTTTAAATGAAAGTCAACGTTTTTGCATTCTTATAATAAACAGCGATAGGATCGAATGATTAAATAAGTAATTACCAGGTGACATAGTCAATACGCATTGAGTTTTACTGGTCTATCTCATAAATAGGTGAAACATCACATTCACATGACATCAGAAATTTTAATATACAGGGTGAAGATTATTTCAAGTATAATATTTTGGTTAAAAAGCATAATACGTACGCACTGACTAATTCAATCCTGTGGTCATCAGCCACCATGTCCAGTCCTTATTAACTTGAAATCAAGTTTCAATTAAAGAAGTTGCAGAAGTTGAAATGTGCTCAATATGTCATCCAATGGCGGCTCTAATTGGTTTTCTTTGGTATGATCATGTTCTTCATATCTCTATATATCATATATGTGCTTCGATTGTCTTTGTCTCCTGCTATTCGTGTACTTACAATCCTCAAAAATATTGAAGTTTTATCATCCTTTAATTAAATTGTTTCTATGAATACTATCTCGTTTTTCATTTAATGATCCTACAACACGTATGAGCATGTAATAGTCGACTCTTACGCTTTTTCAGGGTTAAATCAAGCAAATCTAGAGGAATAAGGATATGAAACAAAGATGTTTGCTTTTTAAGTAAATAAAATCTCTTTTTTCTGCTTAAGGTGTACATGAGGTCAAGTGCAAATCATTTGAAGTCTTTGCTGCTGTTTATTTCTGAAATCACAAAATTATCACTTATGACAGAAAACAAGAATTTCATCAAAGTAGGGCTTATTTACCGTGTTCCTTCCATCATCATTGATTTGGAATCCTCAGAGAATACACCAACAAATGCAGAAGAGATCTAACTTTCCCCATCAAAATTGATATATATAGCAAAAACCTGTTGTCAAAATGCAACATTACACGTATCAGTTTGATTACACAAAAATAAGAAGCCGAAAGAATCATAAAACAGATCGATAGGGTAATTAAACACATGGGTGAAGTTCTATAATCCATAAAATCAGCATCAGGAGAATATTTCCACTATATATGCAATTCAATCAATAGTGAAAGACATCAAACGTTTTTATTTTGAAGCTAGTGAAATGCAGACGATAGGAGACATATATGTTCACAATGAGAAAGATCTTTACTCCATTAATGTTATTCAAGGTTCCATGGACCATGAATCGACAGAAATAATAGATGTTTACATGGAACCACTCTATGAAACTTTCTTTTGTCCATTGACAAATAAGATAATGGATGATCCTGTTACAATCGAAACAGGCATCACTTATGAGCGAGAGGCAATAATAGAATGGTGTAAAAAGTTTGGTGATCCTGCTGATATCATTTGTCCAAAAACAGGCGTTAAGATAACCAGTCAAGTTTTCAACAGAAATATTGCATTAATGGAAACGATCAAGAAATGGGAGGAAAGAAATGAACAAGCAATTATCAGGGCTGCAAAATCAACTCTATCTTTAGCCAGTAATAAGACCATGATTCTTGAAGCATTGCATAATTTGCAGACTTTATGTAGAAAAAAGCAGTACAATGTGGTTGAGATACGTACTATTGGTGTCATACCACTTCTTGGAAGAATCTTGGGACATGAAGACAAAGATGTGGTCTTTGAAACGCTTGAGTTACTAAAAAAGTTGGCTGAAAATGTCGATGATGATGATGATGATGGAAAAGTAAACTTCTATCTCAAATTATGTTGTTATAGGTTATAATTGTATGAGATTTGAAGAAAAATTGAATCCTTTTTGCAGGAAATGATTGTCAAGACAATGGACTTATCTGTTATAATACAGAATTTGTCGAGTGAAGTTGAATGTATTAGGCATGCTTCTTTGATGCTTCTTGTTGATCTTTCAAAAAGTGGTGATTTTTGTGATAAATTTGGTTTGGTTGCTGGTGGAGTTTTGATGCTGATTACTCTGAAGTATAGACAGCCTATTGATGCATTTGCTTTAGAGAAAATTGATGAAATTTTGAAAAACTTGGAGAGGTCATCAAGTAACATCAAGTGTATGGCAGAAAATGGACATTGGCAGCCCCTATTGCATCATTTTCTTGAAGGTATAACTTTCAGTTAAAAATGTTTATAACAAAATTTACAATCCCTTCTATCAATCTCTAAGGGTATGTTATGTTTGATGAAATGGAATAACGAATGAATGGAATGACCAAAATATTGGAATGAGACAATGAGTCGTTACTTTCCATGATCATATTCGGTTTGCAATTATGAATAGGATGAATTTCATATAAACTTTATATATTAAATGTGGATATAAAAATATATAATTTTAACTCTATTCTATACATTAAACGGACTTTTATTTACAAAAAGACAAAATTAAATAATCAAAGCTAGTGAAGCCCAAAAAACTTATAATAAAAATAAGAATTTTTGTTATGCAGAAAATGGATTAAATTAAAATAATAACGTACTTTTGGTTGAAAAATACATAGATAAAAACCGGTTATTTGCAATTTTTCATTTCCTTTCATGGAACAAAAGTTTACAAAAATATTCCTTTAGCAATGGTCAATTCCATTTCATTGGGTAAAACAAATGGTTTTCTATGAACCATTCCATTATTCCGTTATGCTAATTCAGTTGTATCAAATACTATCTAAAAATACTTTATATTTTGTGTTTTTTCCAGATTAAACCTCAACTTCATTTTTTTTTTCTGAAAAAGACCTTGTATTTTTTTGTATCTCTTTCGATCCGACCCTTTGTCTTTTTTTTCCGAAAAAACTTGTAAAATGAGCGGGTTTTTTCGAGAAAACTAAAAAAGTTTAGAATGTACTTGAAAACAGTTAGAAGGTTGATGGTTTAATCTGGGAAAAACATAAAATATAGGGTTTTTTTATGAGATTAACCCATGATTCAAATTAACCAATGATTCAAATATACAAAATCAAACAGGTGATGAAGAGACGAAGATGGAAATGGCGAGTTTCATTGGCGAAATTTTTCTTGGAAACGATGATGATAACAACACTTCCGTCGCGGAAACTGCTTCACATGCTCTAATCGAAATGGTATTTCAAGGTAACTCATTGGCAAGAAATGTTGCATTTAAAGCACTGAAGCAAATCTCATCTCACCATGAAAACGGAAAGATTCTTGTGAAATCAGGTGCAATAACTAACATGTTGCATGAAATATTCAAAAGAACAATCTATAATGAGCCAACGAATTCGAAAGCAGAAGCAGCTGGGATACTTGCAAACATACTTGAATCGGGAGCGGTTTACCTAACTGACCTTCAAGTTGACCACACGATGTCATTGGATTACATCATTTACAATTTCCTAAAGGGTGTCTCCAATTCAACACCAGATGAATTGAGCATCAACTTTGTTAGAATCCTATTATGCCTCATGAAATTCCCAAAAACGTCGGATATTATTGTGTCTTTGGTAAAGGAGAGCGATTTATGCACAAATTTGATTGAACTTCTGAATAACCCAAGTGCGAAACTTCAAATCTCTTCTATCTTGTTTTCAATTTCTCTATCGCCCTTTTTTGGTCATACATTAGCAGAAAGGCTATGTAAAACAAGAGGCCAACCTCAAAACTTGCTAAAAGATTTGCCAAGTACAACGCCACCAACAAAAAAACAAGCGGTTTCGGTCAAATTTTTAGCAACACTTCCTCACGAAAATCTTACTCTCAATCTTGCTCTACTCAACATGGATATCGTTCCTTTAATTTTGACAGAAATAGATCGTGTTCAGAAATCTGGCATGAGAATGAGCAAATATGGAAGTGATTATTTTGAAGGACTTGTGGGTATTCTTGTTAGGTTTACTTCAACTCTATACGAGCAACAGTTTTTGGTTTTAGCAATGAGTTTTAGTTTCACAAGAATGTTCACAGAATTGCTTATGAACACAAGTGATGAAGTTCAGAGATTATCAGCAATCGGGTTACAGAATCTTTCATCAAATACTGTTTCTTTATCAAAACCAACCGATATCAAGGAACCCAAGTTGAGAAAGTTTTCATTTTTACAGAAATGTTTCTCATTCAATTCAAGAAAGCTTAAAACCACACCAATGTACATGTGCCCTATTCACAAAGGAGCTTGTTCTTCTCAAGAAACCTTTTGTTTGCTTGAAGCAAATGCGATTCAGAAGTTATTGACTTGCTTTGACCACAAGAATGTAGATGTAGTGGAGGCTGCATTATCGGCTATTTGCACTTTGTTAGATGAAAGAGTTGATTTGGAAACAAGTGTGAGTATTTTGATCCATGAAAAGGCTATACAACATGTTTTGAATGTGGTGAAGGAGCATAAAGATGAGTCTTTGAGGCAAAAATCGTTTTGGGTTTTAGAGAAAATGTTGATGAAAGGAGATGAAAACTCAACTTCTGAAATATCACAAGACAGGTTCTTCCGTGCAATGTTAATCACTACTTTGCATCATGGCCATGCTGACATTAAGTTGATGGCTGAGAGAATCTTGAGGCATTTGAATACAATGCCTAGCTTTAATACGAATTTTACAATGTAATTCTACATACTTTTTGTATAGCATACAATACTACTTGTAAAGTTTCCATACTTCACGAATCAAAATATTGTTTGTGCATTAGAGACAGTTCTCATGGGATTTGCTGCCCTGCCTCACAGCTTTGAAACGTATCTTTGGAAAAGAGGTATTCAAACCCTTATAAGGAAAGTTTCGTATCCCTTTCTAGCCAAATAGTAAAAAAAATGCCACAATAATTGATGAATTAAGTAATTAATAAAAAGTATAGAAAACAAATATATGTTAGCAAGATGCAAACTTTCTCTAATTGGCCGGCATACAAAGGCAAAAGTCGCAACCAAAAGAGTCATTGGACGTTTTGTCTTGTTACACCAAATCCATGATTAATATTTTATAATTCAAGATTAATGACACACATCAAGAAATATAAACATATGTTATGCGTACATAGCTGTTGATAATTGGCTTTGAGATAAAACCCCAAATTATAGTAAAGATTAAAATATAGCACAAGGGGTTAAGGCCGGCAAGTAAGATGACGTCATCATCAACTATTTGCTGCTTTTCTATTTCATGAAATTGTTTATAGATCGTTTCTTTGAATAGTTTATTAGAAGAACACGTCTTTCTCTTCTCTAATATCTAATTAACTAAACCACCATTGATATTGTCAAAAAGACACAAGTTTCTACTTGTTTTATAGTACTATATAACATGCAAATGGACGTCTCTTGTATTCTGAGATGGGATTTAGGCCTATAAGTTAATCAACTTGATCAAGTTTGATACAGTTTTCACATTCCATGGCTTCTTTCTCGATGGAGGATTTTGTGGGAACTGGATCTCTAAAGAAACTTCTTCCAAAGCTGTTAGATGATGGTTGGGACGATGTTCCAACTTTGAAGATAATGAATACAGAAGACATGAGTGCAATCAACATGAATCAAACACAAAAAGTAAGCTATACATATCACATAGTGTTCTCATTATCTTCTATGAAAGTTGTACTTTTTTAGAATAATTTCTTTTTTCTACTGAAGGATGCATTGGAGATGAGGTCATACCTTCATGATCGATCACTAATGCAATACGCAGATAAACTAGAAGCTTCAGGAAAATGTCTAGCAGAGCTTCTAAACCTCGGAATCTCAGACCTTTCTTCTCAATTCGCCATGAAAAGAGGACACATCGCACGTTTCATGGACAGAACCTCACAATGCGAAGCTGATCCAATCCCATCGTCGTTTTCTCTCCCTGCAAGAAAACCAACGAACCCACCTTCGCGAAACCCAAGTATGTTCAAGAACCCATCGATCTCCACAAGACCAAAATTGCAGGCTATGTCAACACGAAGCAACATAGCTTATGATTCAACAATCGAGCAATCAATCGCTGATTTCAAGATCAAAGATGGGTATATCTTCAAAGGGGTTGTCGCTGCCTTACCTGATGAGCCTAGGGCGTGTGGTTGTATACAGCAACCTCCCATTGTCGATGATGTCGCTTCATATTCCAGTATCGAGAATATTTCAGTTCAGAAGCTAACACCAGAGTATAAGATAGGTATGGAGCGATTAGTCAAAACCAAGACACCGCCGATGAGAGTTTCCGACTTGTGGCGGGACAAACCATCTCTTCTCCTTTGCATCCGCCGGCCGGGATGCATCATGTGCAGAGCTGAGGCGCATAAACTTTACTCAAAGAAACCAATATTTGATGCACTTGGGATCAATCTCTTTGCTGTTCTTCATGAACATATAGAATCAGAGGTAAGAGATTTCTGGCCACGATATTGGGGTGGGGTTGTGCTTCTTGACAAGAACATGGATTTTTTCAAAGCTCTTGGTGGAGGATCCTTGCTTAAAGACAAATTCATATCAGGGTTTCTCTTTAATCCTCGAGCTCGTGCAAACTACAAGCGTGCGAAAGCTATGGGAATCGAGCAAAACTTCAAGGGAGAAGGCGAAATAAAAGGTGGACTTTTTATTGTTGGCAAAGGGAAAAGTGGAATCGCCTACCAGTTTATAGAGCGAAACTTTGGAGACTGGGCACCACTTGCTGAAGTCGTTGAGATTGGTACAAAGTTGCAGGTATAATTCAGGAAAGATTGATAGATCAGTTTTATACATCTTGTTTCAAGAATGTTGTTAATTAGTTTTGCTAACTTCATGATATTTATGCAGAACCAACAACTGAATAGGGAGAATTCGATAGCATCACGGGACTTTGAATGAAGTGATATGAAACATGGTCGAGTCCATACTCTTCGTTACGTTAGTTCTAGTGAGGTTATATTGGTTTCAAGAGCAAAGCGTAGTCAGATTACTGGCTTTGCACTTCAATGCAGATCTCCTATTTGTTTGTTTTTTTTTTTCTTTTCTTATGATTAATTATTTAATTAACTACTGTTTATTCTAGTTCTTGCTTTAATTAGAAAATCAAATTGTGTTGGGGAATTCTTCAAAGGATGTGGTGGTAGTTAATAACTTAGATAGCCAACTAAATCGTGTTCGTGTTTGAGACACTATTCGAAAGTAGTATTTTGATCTTTAACACCATGTTCCCGAGTTTAATTTAACGAGGAAAAAAAAGAGAAATTGATGGAAGTGAGAAAAAGTAAAATAAATGGGTGTTCGTCATATTTATTAAAGGATGAAAATGGAAAGAAATAGAAGGAAAACGTTCTTTCCTAACATTCCTTTAATTCTGAAAGTATTTTGAGAGAAATGAACACAACGTTTAATTTTACTTTCACTTCTCTCAAACTCAAAAATACAAAAGACTATTTTTTCCTTTCCTTTCCTTTTTCTTCTTCTCGCCTACTCTCTTTCTGATTCCTTTTTTTTATTTGCTAAAACTCAGGATCTAGGCGTAATTGTCTGGGTATACAAAACTTGCTGAGATAATCCAATTGAATAACAACTTCTGAGTTTAGGCAACAAGCTAGAAGTCAAATGACTAAATTCGTGTAAAGGTTGTTTCTTTTAGAATTTGAGAATTAGAGAACCTGAATAATAATATATGCCAAGAAATTTATAAAATATGCACTTAGTAGTCTCAAGACTACCCCTTAACCTGGACATGTCAACATGACCGCTACAAGGATGTGTTCGGGTGTGAAGACTTGAGAAAATGTGTTCTTGGTGAGCAAATGTGCTCTTGGTGAGAAGGTGCTCCCAGGATGAAAAGATGTTAAATCCTGAATTTGTTGGAGCATTCAGAGAATGGGCTCCAGCCATGCCAAAAGGCACTCTCGCTATAGGATGTGTTCAAGGTATGTCAGAATGCGCACTAGGCTTGCCATAATGCACTTTAACTTGGCAAAAGCAATTCTTAGTTGTTGAATGTGCTACGACAGCTAAAGAATGTGTTGCTTGTGACATCCTCTAGTTTTCGGAACCAAAAAAGATTCTTTACGCTTTAAAAATCATGATACTTTATTTGTGTAAAAATACCAGTATATAAAAATCTTTTGAGTATAAGATTATCTCAAATAAAATCCTAAAGATGTCATAATCAATACAAATACATAATTTACAGCATAAACACCATTGCAGACTTTCTCTTAATCACTTAGCATCCTAATCAAGTTCCAGTGGCTTAAGTCTTTATACATGTGATGTATACAAACTTACCGGTGATGCATACAAATTGAGTGGCAAAGGTTGGGAAATGTGGTGAGTATATAAGGATTTCAATGTCATAATGTTATATTATATATATATATATATATATATATATATTATATATATATAGATATATATATATACATATATATATATATATATATATATATCCTGTAAAACCAAGTGTTACCAAACAATATATAGATTTATCTCCAACTTGGATATTTATAATACCTAATACCTGTACATACCCACCTCAATCGATCCTCATAGATCCTAGTCCACGATTATCAGGAAGATAAACCATTTCAAAGCAAGGGTTTTACTACACAGCTAGGGGGTTCCTTGGCCGGTGAAAGTTATAAAGGCATTCGAGCCATCAGAGTATTTGATGAATATGGTATTCCATTTCATCTACGTCTGTGGGTTATGAACCCACACTAGTAACGTAATTCACAAGACCGTCTAGAATGATCAAGTATTGTCATCTTACTCTGGGAGATGACTAGACATACCATTACAGTTTCCTGATCTGGACCCACCATTCATGGTCATCCAAAAAGGAATACTATGTGTACTCTGCTACGTATTTCGTATCATCGACACCTGGAAATATCACGGAATAGAACTCTACTCTCCATTCCTAACTTACACACATTCTCTGAATGAGACTAACCAATATACAACTTAATTAAACTAGAAATCTATAATAAGTCTTATCTCATTAACGGGCAAAACTACTAAGCTCCCAATACCATCTTTGTTTGTTATGGAATAGAACTCCACTCTCCATTCCTAACTTACACACATTCTCCGAATGAGACTACCCAATATCCAACTTAACTCAACTATGCATCTATAATAAGTCTTATCTTATTAACGGGATCAACAACCACCACGATCCCAAGATATGAGAAACAGAATTGTTTCCCTCCTCTTATTTCCTTTTCCTTTCCCACCTTCTTTGATTGTTTCTTTCACAGGTTACATCCCTAAAAATAAAGGTTTATGATTTGAATATATGTTTACAAAATATTATACATCATGCGGTTACAGGTCTTGGTGGTTGCTTTATTGTCATATTTATTAATGTTTAAGTACTTTCTTGGGGATGGGTTGTTGTACTATTAGACTTTAGCATGGTAGCTTGAATTCATCATAAGTTGCTTCAACGAGTGTGTGATTTCCTTGTATTTTAGCCGCACAAATTGTCCCTTTTTGTTCTATTGTGTTGAAGAGTACAAATGTCATTATTATCAAGTAATGGCTTTTTAATATGAATTACTTTTTCAACTGTATAGATTGAATTACTTACTTATTATCATTTCTTTTGTAACGCCCCGATTCGCAGGTATTGATGTAAATGAGAATTTCATTGGTTTTAAGTCCTACTCGACGAGTTGGTCGCCCTACTCGTCGAGTAGCAGCGGGTCGGATCGCGTGTTTAGTGACCTACTCGCCGAGTCCATGAAGGGACTCGACGAGTAGGAGCTGGCAAATGAAACCCTAAATCCCGGGGTTTTGCACCCTATTTAAGGAGGCTTAAGCCTCCTTTGGCCTCTTTGCAGTTCTTGAGAGCTCTAAAGAAACCCTAATTCGTGTGGTGCTCTATTGTGTGTTTATTTAAGCTTGGGAGGAAGATATTTAGAGAGAAGGAACTTGGAAGGCAAGGGAATTGGAGCAAGGAAAGTGTGGGAATCAGAATCTACCTCGGTTAGCAACTTCCAGAGGTATCAATTCGCCACCTTTGCATCTTTTCCTTCTAGATCTCTTTTAGGTTGAGTTTGGGGTTTTTATGGATCTTTGAGTTGATAGGGTGGACTATGGGCTAGATCTGAAGTTGTAACTTCAGATCTGGACCCTTCTTAAGTCCTAGAGTCATAAAGTTTCTGGTTTGGGCGTGAATGAGACCTTCCTTGGGAAGGAAACCCCATTTCGGGCTTGGATTGAACATTCGAAGCCTTTATAGCTATGCATGCACGTAAGGTTTGCAACTTTACGTGAAAAGCATGCCTTAGAAGCTTGGATCTATAGTTTGGAGCCGCTGCATGACTCAAATGAGTCTGTATGGCAAAAGGACTGAGGGGACTCGACGAGTCGCATGGTCGACTCGGTGAGTCATTTGAAGATAGGCCTGGACCCGACGAGTTGGATGAACAACTCGGCGAGTCCGATGAAGATTGCCATAGAACTCGACGAGTTGTATGAACAACTCGGCGAGTCGGTTGAGGTTTCCCAAACCATGTATGTGTGTGTAACCGTCGAGTTGCAAGAAGGAAACTCGACGAGTGGCCTTAGAGCTCGATCGTAAACTGAAGGAACTCGACGAGTCACTCCGTGACTCGGCGAGTGGGCGAGTACTTCAAGGAACTCGGCGAGTAGCCGAGGGTACTCGGCGAGTTAGGGTCAATATGGATTGTTGACCTTGATAGTTGACTTTGACCAAGGGTTGACCGTTTTGACTTTTGAGGATAATTGGTAAGCGGGTATTTATGAATTGGATCTTTGATGGTTATAGGTGTTGGAGTTTGGGGCAGTGTTTCGGGAGCGTGATTCGTGGTTCAGTCCGGCATTGCAAGGTGAGTTATCCTCACTATATCAATAGGGTCTAAGGCACCAAGGCCGACCCTTTTAGTTGTTATCTTGGTTACAGTATGCTACATGTGGTTATGATCTGTTAGATCGGTATCCGGATAGACAGTATGTTTTTATGCTCTTATGATCCGTTAGGATTGGTATGTTAGTGACCTGGTTAGGTCGGTGCTTTGTTTATGAGAGATTACTATGATCGATGATCTGTGAGATAGTTATATATGATATCTGTACGTGTACTGTTTGATGTGCTTATTGATCTGTTAGATCGGCTTCCTGGTAATTAGTACAGTATTTTGTTAGTGACCTGGTTTAGGTCGGTATCCTAGTATATAGGATGATGCTATGTTAGTGACCGGTTAGGTCGGTGTCCTGGTTAGGATGTTGTTATGCCTTATGATCTGCTAGATCGGTTTGTTTGTCTATGGACTGTTATGTGATTACCTGTTATATGTGCACATGATTATTTGCTTGATGTTTGGGTTGAGGCGGTCCTGCTTTGTGTTGAAGGCCAACATACCCTACGAGCGGTCCGGATAGATTGTAGGCCCGTATGGCGGTCCTGTCATACCGAAGGCTCGGGATAGATCCAAATAGACTGAAGGCCCGGTGCCGGCGGTCCAGTCATACTGTAGACTCAGAGAGTGGACCAGGTGGACTGAAGGCCTGGTGAGGGCGGACCAGTTACACTGCAGATGCATGGCTGTTCTGTATTTGTTGTTATGATATGATTATGGTTATATGAGGTTGGTATTTTAAGGGTAACTTACTAAGCTTTCGAGCTTACAGTTTCAGTTTATTGTTTCAGGTTCAGCGGATGGCCGCGGATAGGCGAAGGCGTGACCGTACACTTCCTCGATTGACGATTATGATTTATGGGAACTCTGATGTATAAACCATTTTGAAAACAGATAGTAATAATTGAATGGTTTCAACGACTTAAAAAGTTTTAAAATTGGCTCAAATTTTATGGGTGTTACAAGTTGGTATCAGAGCCTTTGTTTGAGTGAATTGGAGGAACATTTGCGTGACTCCAGTCTCAAATCAAGGAAAGGTTTTCAAAATGAATTCTAAAATGGTTTTCAAAATAAGTAAAAGAGGATGCGAAGTGTACGATCAGCCGGAGCCAGTAAGTAGACCCCAAAATACCATACTGTTATTTGATATTGTGATATGTT